TTTTTTTTTTTTTTTTTTTAATGCCATTTAGGATCTTGGCACTAAAATGGCTTCTGTAAAGTTAAAATTTAATTTCTGATTATATATCAGACCATTTAAAATACGCAGTTTGTGTAAAGACCAGTGCACATATTTTTCTAAGTACAGCAGAGGGGCAAGCAAACTGGTAGAGAGTAGCAGGTCCTGAAGCCCTCAGGCATTCTGGGAGGTAAAGGAAGGGTAACAGAAAGGTCAGAGGATTGTGGAAGCTGAGATTTCATTATGAACAGTAGAAAAAGTGCAGACTGCACTTTCTTACTTTAAAGATCCACTTTTTCTGGTCCTTATTTGTGTGAAACAGAGATGGTGTTAAAAGAAAATTATTCAAATTGATAAATCTTTCTGGGTTCAGATCCTGCAAAATTATTTTGATTAGAGTTCTTGGGTAGTAGGGGTGGCAAAAATAAAATGAATGTTAACCAAAAACAAACCCAGAGGAAAACTTTTTTCTCAAAAAATAGAGTTTTCAGCTTGAATCCCAGCATGTGAAGATGATTTGAGTATAATCACATGAGGGGGAGGATTTTGTGGTTTGACAACATATTTTGCAACAAGGCTTTGCTGAGAAGTGTCAGAGGTGCGTCTCTGACTGCAGCACCATTGCTCCCCAAAAACCTCAACTCAGTTTTCAACTCATTTGGCTGAACACAGAGAATCATAAACTGGAATGAAAGTCACAGGACACCATGAGGCGGTGGGAAGATGAATGAGTTAGGTGTAGTTTATGCAAGCTGAACATATCTGTCAGAATAATACATTGCTTGTTGCTCAGCAGGAGTAAGTGTACACTCTTCAGCAAGGCAGAATTTTAGTCAAGGTACATTTGTTTCCAGGTGAGATCAGGTGGTGAAGCAAATTCTGAGGTAAGAGCTGGTGTTTTCTTTGGAGAGGGGTAGTGAATGGAAATCTTGCTTATACCAGTTTTTGCCTTGCAATATCCCAATTTAGTCTTCTAAGACTATCTATTTTTGCTTGCAGCTCCTGTGAATAAGGGGGGGAAGTGCAATGCTTTGCACTGTGGTTGGGAGGCTTTTTGTCACATCAGAGACAGGAGGGCTGCGATCATACAACAGGGAAGAATAGAAAGTTTTTTCGGAGCTGTAAATGAAATGACATTAACACTTCTGTTTCAAGTTGGTCTGTGATTTCAAACAAGGCGAGATGTTGCTAACTCAGTCTTCAGTTTGAGTGATGGATGCGCATGAGCACAAAATGTCATCTTCATAAAATTCTTCAGCTTTGGAAAGAGGATTTTTTAATGAATTTTTGTTTCCTGTTCTCACACACACGCACACACACACAAAGCTGCACATCTCTAGGCAGTCCCAGGTTTGAAA